AATGACAAATTAAAAAGGCATGAACATTTTTTTTGTATCGAAAAAATATCGAACCGTGACACCAAAGTATCGAACCAAACCGAACCGTGAATTTTGTGTATCGTTGCACCCCTACTAATTATGTGGATATATTTTCATGTACTTTGTGTAATGTTTTATTAGATTATATTTGATGGCTTGAGCCCCAGGAAGACTAGCAACTGCTATTGTGGAAGCTAACGGGGTTCCTTATATACAAATATATGAATAACCTGGAGATTTAATATATCATTTCCGTAATTGTCGGGCTATAAGCCGCTACTTTTTGCACTAGCTTTGAACCCTGCGGCTTTTAGTCAGGTGCGGCTTTTCTGTGGATTGTCCATGATTTTTGTCATATCGTAAGACGATTTATTTTGTTTGTTCCGCTGTTGTACGGCACTACATTGCCTGGCGGAAGGGCATGTGATCAGACACACAGTATCGGGGTTCAAGAGTGGTATGTTGGTCACATGTCTATCCGCCAGGCAACATAGTGCTGTACAAGTAGTGTGAAAAACAAACTTCAAAGTAGCGCTACACGTTCAGCGGGAGTCGTGGATGATGAGCGGCGATAAACTTGCGAAAAGCAAGTTATGCTCAACTCCACCGGTGGAATCTGACAGCGTGGAAAAGTGTGAAAACATCCACGATCACCAACGGATTTGAAGGGCTGGACTGCTGCATGATGGAGAGGAGGACACCGCCACGGCCCTTCTGAGGGTGTTCGACACTAACAACGAGGATTTCTTTGGTTTTGAAAGTGACAACGAAGGAAAGAAGCTGAGAGTGGATGATGAAGCCATCCTGAGCCTGTTCGTATCTGACACTGGTGTGCTGTAGGTTATTGTTATGTACTACATTTGTTACTCATTTATGAAGCACAGTACATGTTTCGTACTTGTAATTACCGCTACTTGTACATATACCTAAAAAGTTATGCAAATATGTACCAATAACTTGTTTTTCAAAATATTAATAAAAGGGGTGTGTCTCCAAACAGCCATCTCTTTCCTGACAATTCGCTTTGTGCATATTCTCTTACATATGATAAGTCAACATTGAAACACCTGCGGCTTTTAGTCAGGTGCGGCTAATGTATGTACAAAACAGGATTTTCCCCTGATTTTAACTTATGCGGCTAATATTCAGGTGTGCTTTGTAGTCCGGGAAATACGGTACTCAAAAACCAAGATTTAAAATATCTTACTGTTTTAAAAAAGAACCCATTTATGAATAAAAGACTGTAGTATTAGTTAAATCATTAGAAACTGCTTATCTCATAGTATAAAGCCCTTACCAGGCCTTTGTGGCACTTTTATTTAAACTGTGTTGTTTACCTGTTGTTTATTGTAGACTGCACTATTTTGACACTTCATCATGCTGCTGCAACAATTTCCCTTGTGGGATCAATAAAGTATCTATCTATCTATCTATCTATCTATCTATCTATCGATCGTCTGTCTAAGGAGCTTGGAAAGGACCTTTTTTTTCCAAGCTGCCTCAACTACGATGACCTGGATGACTGCCAAACTTCACAGACGTCTATCTATACAGCTCGCCAAAGGCATGTGTTAGAACCAGTGATCTTATGTCCCAAAGAGGGGAACCAGACAGGGCTGTCCACTTTGACTTAGATATTAAAGCAACTGTAACTAGAAAAAGTTACATTTCCAGTGAAAATGCAGTGTGAATGCTGTGTAGTGGAATCTGAAAACAGCAGAAGAAGGAGAACTATCTGCTGAAAACACTGTGTACAAGCTGAACTGTTTGCTGAAAACTGCTTTATTTGAAAGACTACACTGAAGAGTGTCAAGAAAGCAGGGAGAGTGCAAGGAGGGAAGATATGTAGTAAATGTCACATGTAGGATTTGAACCTTTGCCACCGGATCTCACGGCAGCTGCGCATCCCACTGCGCCAAAGCAGTTCTGGTCTCAAACAAAGATATGATGAGAGAAAAAATGTGCACTGTGCAGAAGAAGCTAAATTGTACTGAAAAGAGGTAAAAAATTGCTGAATGTACAGCAAAAAAAGAGATAAGGAACCTGAAAATTGTGCTGAAAAGAGGTTAAGAAGCTGAAGTTTGTGCTGAAAACAGCTGAAAAAGCTGGAATTTGTGCTGGAAAGTAGTGAAAAACTGAAAATTTTGCTAAGCAGTCAGCAGTCACTATCTCTGGGGGGCATCACAACTATTGTAGACCCCTTAAAATGTGGCTGATTAAAAAGCTTCCAATAAGTATTTTTTCTCCTTTTTTTTTGCTTTAGACAGAAAAAACGTAACAAAAAAATGTTTACTTGGTGAGCAGCAATGAGCTAAAAGCCCATAAATGTAAATCAGATGACCTTCACTGTAGACCATCAGACTATTGCCCTTAAATAGAAGGCAACTTTTACTTTTGCACTAAAGCATTAATACTAAATGTTCTTGGTTTCGTCATTTTGTTTATGAAAGAGACATTGGTAGTTTAGCTTGCATATGCAGCCTCATCTTCGCACTTTCTACATTTAAACAGATTCACACTGTTCAAGACAAACAGTCGCCTGCTGTATTCCAGTAATTCCACCCTGCTTCTCCGCATTGCTGTTGCTGCTTCCACAGTGTTTTGTAATGGGTGAATTACCAGCAGTGATTTGCTCTTTTACAGTTTTGTTAATCCTGAATAAAAGACTCCCTGACAGATTAGTGCGTGTGGGCTGTTTGTCATTCAAAGCCCTTTAACGAGAAAAGTCTTTCGGTCTCTGGAAATTACAGACAGCAGAGAAGAGGTTTAGTGTTTTTCTGCCTTCTAAGAAAAACTCAACTCAAGGCATGCACAGATGCAGAAAGAGAGTGGGAGATTATCTGTTTATTTTAGCTAATGTTCATATTTAATGGGGACACTCTAAATGGCAAAAACAGAGGTTGCATAATCACATCTACTTGTTTGAAATGTGCCTTTGTGAGGATCCTTCAGGCTATTTATTCTGAGCTAGGAGCACATGCTTTGTATCATAGTGTGGGTATTCTACTCTTTTTGCTAGTCGCTATATAGACGTCTATAATTTAGATATCTATAAAGCATATATTTTCCAGATACACGTATGTGTTCATTTTTTAAAATATGGTATATTAACCAGATTTAAGATAAAAGCATCATGCAGATGCCGGTTCTTCCACATTCACCATGAGCATGAATATTATTTTCAAGCTTTCATTAAATTAGATGTTACAATGGAGCCAGAGTCTGCAAGCACAGTTACGGTGTGTGAGTTCATAGACAAACATGAAGCTAAACTGCCCAACAAAGGCAAAGTCCAGCAACTACACGAGTCAGGCTGAAGCTGAAAT